TCCCTTGTGCAGGGTGACTGGATCTGGTCTATCGAGCAAAACGAATGGCAAACGCACTCATTGACTCATAACCAGCTTTCAAACAAGGTGCACATGGAAGGGCTTTATACAGTACAAGAGCAAAAAGTTTCCAAGCACACTCACCAGCCAACATGCAAAAAAACCTGTCTAACCGCTAAGGTTAAAAACAGAGGTTTTAGATACACGTCTTGGATCTGGTCTCTGCCCCCTCCTGTAATAAAGGCCGCTCACTGCTGCACTCTCTCCGCTTGTGCAGGGTGACTGGTCTTGTCTCCGCCCCCTCCTGCAGTTTTCTGCAGGCCCTCTGTAATGGGTGGGGCCTGCTGGGTATTTTATGTTTTATCCGATTAACCGATTAATCGAACTTAATCATCGGCTAACTAATCGATTTTGAAAATAATCGTTAGCTGCAGCTCTAGCTGGGTCTCTCCCATAGCTCTGCTCTCTGCACAGGTAACAACTGGGTTTGTAAAAGCGATTAGTGCACATTAGTGATGTCATTAAGAAATACTGTATATATTTAAATTAAGGTTTTTGTGCCCGGAGTTCGGCTTTAACCGTCACTCTGATTCTTGGATCAGCCAGGAAAGTCATATAACTGTATGTTATCTGGGGGAAAAAAAAGATTGTACTCTAAAACAACGCCACAATCTAGAAAACAAAAGTCGAGACTATACAGAAGTCTAATAATTTAGCTAATCCTCTTTTTCCTCGATAGAAGGGAGGAGGAGGTGGAGCGGGGTGCTGAGATCGTTATCTTTAGCTGTGTGCCGCCTGCCCGTTCCTTTCTATCTTGCAAGTTCCTTCTCGCCTAATTGAACATCAGATCTCCCCAGCTCTGGTTCACAGCAATCTTGGGGCCTTGTCAGGGGAGAAAAAAACACACACGTGGAATTGGAGAATAAGAAAAGCCGCCTGGCGGACAATGACAGAGCGTGAAACGTGCGTTCATTTATGAATGTTACTAGGTGCTTTTTTTGTAAATGACATTGGCAGAATGTTTGATCCGGAGGGTCTCGGCAAGATCTTAAAGAATATGTATACCCAGTCACTAAAATCCTGCCTACTAATGTCATTTGTAAAGGCCTTTTACATTTTTTTACATTATATTAATACCTGGTGATCCTGCCATCAAGGTGCTTGTTCAAGTAGGGCAACAATTTGTGGGCGGGGCCACGCTCAATGTGTGATAGATCAGGCTCCCCCTAGTGCTCCTCCTAGTTATGTCATGTTGGTGGCCCAGGAAGTTGCCCCATTATCATGGACAAAGGCCCATTTATTAATCTTGCTCAATACAGTTGACTCACACAGGTACTGGGCACGAGGGGGTAGCATTACTTTCCCCCACAATAACCTTTGCAGCCCATCGATTGGTTATAACGGTTCACCTGTACACACATGGACTTATTGCTGCTCCCTTTTCATTTCAGGGTATCAGGGACTGACTCAAGGTTGTGGATCTTGGTTACACTTGCGGGCTACCTTGGGTGGCCGGAAAGTTGCGAGTAGTGTAGGCCGATAGCCCCCAGAGCATGAAAGGGATAGTACCACATACTGGAGTTTAGACATGTAAGCTGCGAAAAAAATTTGGTTTGCTTCGGATATTTCATTATTTCGGGTTTTGGATCTGAAATTCAATTCGGTTCTGGTTTCTGATTTGGACGAAATCTGGATTTTCGTTTGTTTCGGATGAGTTTACGCTTATTTTCTTTGTGAATACCACAGAAAACCATATACAGAGATTAACACTAAAGCTGAAGCTCCTGGACCAGAATGGCATTTGGGAGTCCGAATTTCCGACTACCATTCGGGAGCTGCAGAAAGCAATACGGGTCTGGGAGCCATATCAAAGCTGAGGCTTCCAGACCCGAATGGCATTTGGGAGCTCTCGAATGCTATTCGGAAATTTGGACTCCATTCGGGTCTAGGAGCCTCAGTTTTAGTGTTATGTATATATAAGTAGTATTCTATAATATGAACGAATATTCGTAGCTGCAACACTGTGACCCATATATACATAAAACTAAACCTGAGGCTCCCAGCCCCGGATGGTATTCGGGAGCTCCCGAATTCAATTTGAAAATTCAGATTCAGTCCCATTCGAATGCATTAAACTGAAAAACACAACTGATTGGCCAGAAACGTCACATGTCTAATTCAATGTTGTTTTTGAACGAAATTCGGGAACGGAAATTTTGATTCGGATGCGTTTGGATGAATTGGTATTCGGAACGTTTTGGAAAATTTGTACGAATTTTGATTCGGAACGAAACAAATTGCACATGTCTACTGGAGTTGTGGAGCTGGAGGAGGTGACTAGGAGCCAGGCTCGGCAGGGGACAGCTGTGTGTACGAGGTCAAGGCAGAGTGTAGAACTAATGATATATTTTATGTTCAGTGAATCAAAAAGTATTAAAGTTATTGGATCAGCATGAGGAGACAATCAGTATTTTGAGAAAGAGAGGTCTAGTTTCGACATAGGTGTAAGCTTCCTTTGAAGGGAACTTGTACTAAGAAGCAGGTAGGCTTTCTTTGAGGACCTCCTAAAATTGCTAGTTGCCTGTCAGACAGGAAAAACTTTACTCCACTAGTTGATTTGTTAATTGGACAGGTTTTAGGTTTCTTATCTTGTGTTCTCAAAAGTCAGTTCTCCAACTCTGGGGCTTGTTGATGGCTGGTTGACGGGATCTTGTTAGGGCCCTGGGCTTCTTAACTCCTGGAGGTACCGGGCAGGGTGGTGGTTCCTCAGGCTGTAGGTTTGTGGGCGTGTGTGGTATGGAGCACCTTGAGTAAGATTTTATCGATGATTGGTCGGTTTCAGGGGACTAGTTTGGGCTCTAAATGATACAATTGGGCATTTCCCATTAAACCACTTGGGGGACCATATAAAGTCCATATTATTGTATTACCATATAACAACCAATGTTATCACCTAGAGCCCTAGGAGAAGAAGTGGAAGTCACCATCCTCTGATACATGTTGGCTGTACCCCTTTGACCCATCATCAACAAAATCTGGAACTGAAACTTTCATGTGTATGACTCAAGGCGCACAATATTGCAGCAAATATAAGATTTGGATAGACCTGAATATCCCCTCCATTAATAAAGCCAGAAAACACGAACAGTGAATAACTGATAGCAACCACAGTAGACAAGAAAGCAGAAATATTTATTGTCAAAATAGTAAACAGCATTGTATACAAAGTGCTTTCATCATAAGAATGATAAAGGCCTCTTCTCTTTTGGGTGGAGGATTAAAAAAAAAATACATTCACATTTTATTTAAAAATATACAAAATGTGTAGGATTTGCGGGACACCCAACAATCTCAAGTTCCAAAAAGTGTGTACATCAATAAAATGACCAATCGTTGAAGATTTTACCATGGTGTGCTGGTGATATACTTTACTGCCCAACAATCTCAAGGCGCATTGTTATTTCCTGCCTTCATATGAATCATCCAAATTGTGAGTCAAGTCTCAAAGTGGGATCCTGTCACATGGGGTTCAGCATCGTAGACACTACAACCGTAAACTTTTTACCCAGCATGGTACCAGTTTTGAAACATACACCAGTTCTAGAGCCATTAACCAGTCTGTCACAGGTTTTGCCAGTCATACAGTACACACAGTGTGATGCAAGTGTTAAGGTGTATCTAAACCCAACACCAAAAATGTAATATATTGCAGCTTACCAGTCCTCAGATGAGGTGGCTGCATTAGCTTTACATTTTCAGGCTTGTTTTCCTTTATTTACATCTAGTAATCCTGCAAATAACACACTCCCTGTCCTAGGGTGACTACACTAAGTCACTCTACTGTATGTATGGAGGGACTCATGGTTGTCACTCTAGGCTGCTTTCCTGATCTGAACCACTAACCCCTCCTCCATTCCTCATTTTTGTCACATAGGGAGGTGTTTCGAAGCTGCCAGAAGGAAGGTGGTAAAACCGATAAGATTGTTAGATATATCAGATCAGTGCACAGGAAGTTACAAGGGGACACTGCAATGTTGACAAGATAAACAGCTATTTTTCTGTACTTGCTGAAAATGTTCTTGATAAAAGGAAACTAATGCAGCCACCAGGGGTGTCCCGAGGCCGGGTGACACCCCGCCGTGTCGTTATCGCACGTGCCTGTGACGTCACTTTGCACATACGCGAAGAAGTCATCGCGCATGCGTGGCCACTTGATTGACTCCTGCCGGGGCCATCTTGGTGATGGACGCCGGCAGAGAGAGGAGGGGACGTTCACCCGGCGGGTATGCCTCTCTCCTGACACTGTCGGGCTCTTGGTCCATGACCGAGTGCCCGACTTTTTAGAGGGGGTGACACCAAAATGACTGTCGGTCATTTTGGTGTCACCCTTACAATGGTAACACCCGGGTGCGGGCCGCACCCCCCTTACGACACCACATCCAAGAACTTGTCAGCTGCATTACAATACATTTTTGTTTTTGGGTTTAGATATCTTTTAAAATGACAGCGGAGCCCCGCAGAGTTTACTATCAGTAGCAATGACAGCAGTTTCTAACGGTCAAGTCGTGCAGGTTACACCATCACCATATGATCTTGGGAGCTCTGTAGTTTTTGCATGTAGACATACGTTTTGTGCTTTTTGGCTATGCCTGTAGCTCTATGAGGGGGACGGGTAGCAACGGCAAGGTATGTTTTTTTTTTCTCTTTGAAATGTTGGAGGGTGTGCTTGGATGTCGAAGGCTGGACACATACTGTATGTTTACACTTCCATGTGTTCTGTGGCTCCACTCCTAACTTTTGTGGCTATCTATCTCATGGCAGTATAGTCAAGAAGAGCGGCGTATAGCTGTAGCACTAAATAAATAGGATTTGCCTAATTAGCTGAGAGTCCTGAAAGGATGCGAAAAGCTAAATCTGAAGTTGATGGAGATGTTCATATTGTTTCTGAATTTCATGAAGATGTGTCATTATTTTGGTATTTAGCTGTACACAAATTCATTTTAGTCTTCCTCTCTACATCTTCGAACTCTTGCTTTGCTTTCCTCCTGCCGGTTCCTCCAAGCAGCAATGATAGCGTCATCATCATCCATTTCTTCTGTATCCTCTTTGGCCTTTCTATACCGAGACCCTCTACCCTCAGAACTTTCACTTTCCATCGGATCGCCATTCTCTTTGTCCTCATCTTCTTCGCTCTTCCTGAGGCGTGGAGTGAATGTTCTTTTGGAGCTTGAATCAACTGAATCTGCCACGCCAGAATCTTCAACATCTTCAAAACGACTTGTTCTAGGTCTCCTAGTAGTGGAGAAGTCAAAGTCATCCAATCCGTTTCTGTCTTCAGAACGGTCACTGAGGTTGGGTTCAGGGCTCTCATTCTTCATGTATTGAGAGTTGTGAGTTTTAGACTTCCGTACGTAGCTGCTTTCTTCTTCGGAGGATGTTGAAAACCTTGACGAAGATCTCTGGGTGTCTCTGTAACTTTGGTAAGACGAAGAAGCGTCTTTATCTTGTTCTGTGAATCTCCTGCTGTATCCGCCAACTTCAGAATTTGTCTCCCTCTGATAGTCTGATCTCCTGGAAATCCTTTCAGAAATGTTCTCGCTTTCTGATGTTGTTCTGCTGTCAGTGTTAACGTTTCGGAGCCATTTGCTAATATTCCTCTCCTGCTCGGAGCTGGTACTCTTGGAACTGGCAAACTGACTGCCGAGATAGGAAGTTTTCTCACTTTTGTCCAACTCTCGACTTGATAAAAGTCTGGAACTCTGAATGTTTGCACTCAAAATGCTCTCCTTCTCTTCCTCTTCCCCATCCTTGTCTTTTGCCTTTTTCTTTTTGAACATATAGCTGCGCTTGTTATCAGACACAACTTTTTCCATACGATACTGGGATAATTTTTCCGCATGCTCTTCTCTCAATTCATTTTCTTTTTGGTTAAGCTTTTTCAGGTCTACATCATCCATGAAGAGTCCATACAAAGGCACACTGGTTTGGGTGATCTTCCTCTTTGTACTAGATATGTTTGTATTTGAACTCATTGATGTGTTGTGAGACAACACTGAATCCCGTTGCTGCAGCCCAGAACCGGACAGGCAAGACCCACCAAGTACAGAAGATCTGTCATCTTCCCCTATTCTTCCAAGATCTCCAGAAGCCATGCTCATAGCCGAGGAAGCTCGTGACATCATCATGAGCTCATTTGTTTTTTGAGCTATGGTTTCATTCACCACATTTGCTATCCAGTTTTGAATGCTTGCGATGGCAACAGCATCTCCTGCACCAGGAGGCAGATTGGGTGGAGCAACTAAGGGTACCTGTGCTTGACTTGCCTGAGACACTCGTGATCTGTTGCTTTGCATGCTCAACATGGACGCTGTGTCACTAGCACCACTGACTGACTGGGAACCAGCAAAAAGTGCAGCTAACGGGAGAGTACCGCTCAATGTACTTTCATTATCCCAACCACAAATAGATTGGCTCTCCTCTAAATTCTGCTTGGAACGTTCCAGGATCTCAGCCCTCCTCTGCCTGCGTTTGATAGCTGCACTGTCTTCTCCTTTGGCAATTTCAACAATTTCATCTTTATTTTCATTGCCCACTTTCTTTTGTTGTTTTAGTTTCCACGCTTGGTAAGCTGTTACATCAACGTCCGACTGACTTGTTTCATCATCTTCTTTCTTCTTGTTTTCATCTTTACTTTGAGCATCAGAAGCTTCGGAGTCCTTTTTGTGGTAACCAAACTGGATTCTTTTAACCTTCCACCTCTCCAGTGGAGTGAGCTTACTTTTGTTCTTCTTGCAAAAGTTGAACAAAGAACTTGCCTCTGAGCAAAGGCTTTCCTCATCGATGTCCTTAACTCTGCTTTTCTCTCCTTTCTCAGCCTTGGTCTTGGCTTCCTTTTCAATTTCCAAGAGTCTTTCGTTCCACATGTCCCAGGTACTGTCTGTAGATACTGAGTCAGTTCGCCCCCTGTTCATTCTACTTGCAGCAAATTGCTGTTTCAGCATCCGAATCTCCTGAGAGGTGATGCTTTCCACATCGCTTATTTCACTTGGCGAATATCTTCTCTCGCTCATCAGAGAACTTCCATCTTCTCCAGGGTGGAGGGCTTGATATTTACTGTTTTCTTTCTGCCAGTTGTAAACCATCTGCTGGACATAATCGCCATCTGCTTCTTCTGGGAGTTTAGGGTCTTGTCCACTTTCTTTTGTCGGTATCTCTTTAGGAGGAAGCCCTTGTTTTTTTCTCCATTCTTCATAAATCTTTTCTTCCTCATCTTCATCAATCAGGGTGGGCTGTTTTGAAACCACGCTTGACTTTTCCATCATGCTCATGGCGCTGCCCATGATGCTAGTTGTATCTTCTTCTTCCACTGTGATAGAATGAGCCTTGGCACCCATGACACTCTCCACCTCTTCTTCCTCCACGACTATGGAATGAGCCTTGGCTTGTATGACGGAGCCTTGACTGTTATTATCATCATCGTCATCAACGTCAAAATATTCACGCTCTTCAAGTAAGGTTTCATTAAGTTCACGGAGCTGTTTAATAAATTCATCATTGGGGTAGATTGCTCGCTTTTTGCGTAATGTCATTAGGGCCTCTTGAATGGTCATGTGGTGAAAGATCATCAAGTATGCAGCAACCAAGACTGCAGATCGGCTCATGCCCATCTCACTGTTCACCAAAACTTTACCTGCAAAAAAAAAGAATGGAGACTGTTATTGGTCTGCAGGATTCAAATGCTCTAAATACAAATTAACTTAACAAGCTTTTAGATGTTAGTTGATCTTTTAGGTTTGCTTTTATATGTTAGATGTATCATGTATGATGTAAATGTAGAATTTGAGTGGTTAGCTTCAATAGAACTTTTTTTTATGACTATCTGTTTTTCACATGGAAGGATTTTCCTTACCTCCTGGCCTAGTGACAATGGTCAACGAAAAGGAGATTCCTATACCTTTCTGTTCCTGTGATGGTCATCATCAGGAGAAAAGGTGAGGGGAAATCTTTTTTTCTCAATATTCTCTTTTGGTCTTACTGGTAGATGAAAGTGTTTTACTGCCAACTGATAACTTTGGAGTTATGGTTAGTCCGCCAATTTAGCTTCTTCGGCTGATGATTGAACAGTTAGCAGATACTTTGCTATACAATATCAAATCTGTTTTTCTGTGGTAACAAAATCTTCCACCTTCACAGACCTAGGGGACACCCAATTGTTGCAACCGCCACTCCCCTGTTACATTTCATACATTGCTAAGCCTCCCAACTGCTGACTGTTGCATTTGCCCTTATATTTGTGGTCACGATCCATTCCCCAAGAGATTCCCCTTCTGAATTAAACCTGAAGCCCTGATGAAGGGGGTCTCTGATTGCCCCCCAAACACATTGGTATATTGATGCTTTTATTGTTACCAATAAAAACTCCATTGGACATTTCTTCTTTTGGTGCCACCTCTGTTTTTTGTTCTATTCAACTTCTCCAGGGCCCTCTCCTTCCCTCTGTGGGGTCCCTGTAGCTGGAAGTGCAGCCACTGCCAAGCAATCAAGCCCCACAAAAGAAACCCATTTTGCCACAATGGGATGTTTAAAAGATCACAGCGCCTCATTCTCTTCCTTGCATTTGTATCATATTTTACACGTCGACCTTCTTATTTGCTGGCGATAATCATGTAACAATCGTCACATGACACTATTTTTAAACCCCCTGTTGCTTTGCTCTTGTTAAAATTTAGTAAGAGGCAGGCAGTGCTGGAGTTTCTTATGTGCCCAGCATAGTCTCCAAAATTGAGTGTCATTGATGCACCCTGTGAAGTATCTGAAGTATGTGCAATGTATCTCTCCTACCCGACTATATAGGCCAAACTAAATAGGTACTTAGCGGGCCAGCACAGATGCCTGAGGGCAATCAGATCTAAATGTTAGACCACCCTCTACTGTCTTTGGCCACCTTCACTGTTTCTTTAGCATTGGTGCTATTTTCAGTCTTTACCTGACGCGCAAGTGCAGCCAAAGTTTTCTTCAGTGGGGGAAAGGGTTAGGGCACCCGTTAGGTTTTAATTGTCTTATGTATCCTATTGCTGTGTGTCCCCCCATTGGGAAGATCTACTATCGCTTCTTATGCAGACTACAAGAGTCAGACAGTGGAGGAAGTGACGGGATATCTCAATGATGCACATTTAGAGCACATTTATTTGATAGACTGGAAAAAGGTTAGAAGCTCTCTTAGGTTTTCATTGCTCTCTTTGTTTTCCTGCCCTGGGAGCACCTTCTCGCTCCTTGACCAGGTGACTACCATGACAAGAAGTGAGGGGTAGTCTCAACAATGAGGACATTGAACAGACCCCTACCCACTCTATCTAAAACTAACAAAGAAATACGTTTTGTCAGACATTTGGCTTTGAACTTTGTATAATTATATGCCGAAAAGGCAAACAAAACAAAATTATAGCACACAAAACATCATACTAATCCTATCCCTCATACAAACCCTCCCTTGGGATTCCATTGACTGGATACAGTATCGAGTTTGATGCTCATTTAGTATCTTGTCAGATGAAGAAACTGTTTTTTTTGCGGCTTGCTAGAACCAATCAAAATGTCTTCTATTACAAATAGAATCGAAATGCCTATCGAAATGTTCTAGATTAAAAAAATAGGATCTGCTATTTCCCGTTCACATATATGTGTGGCTTATGTCTAGACCAGGAGACAAGCAGTTTACCCCATCCACCTCCATTGTCTGGTCTCATTATGTGTCTCTCTGCTCCAGGGCTCGGGGCAATGCCGCTGCATCCCTGAACAAGGACAAGTGCTATTTATAAGATGTCACTGGACATGGGTTAAGTCTCTGACAAGAGATGATATATATATATATCTATATCTCAGGTAACAGTGCAAATACCGACAATAAAGGTAAAAGCAACGCATAGAACAAAGAGCATGTGTCAGTGAGTGCAAACAGCTCATAGCATATCAAGTATATGGTATAAGGGATGACCCCACTCCACCATTAGTTTTCCCGGGCTGTTGCATCCATGATTTTTATGTCCTCTCATCTCCAGTCCTCTACTTTCACATCTCTTGCCACATCAACTCCTAATCTCCTGTTCCCTCCTTTCCTTCCCCATCATCTTCTTAACTCTCCTTTCCTACCTTTCACTCTTCTCCTGCCCCCTCTCTCTTGTCCCCTCCACTGTTCTCTTGTCCCCTCCACTCCTCTCATAGACAATGGTGGCGCAATGTGTGTCAGCATGGCCTCTGGTAGCATCCACCGGTGGCACATGTGACAACTGAGGAGCACAGTTTGGAGACAGTTGTCACCCCATAAGAGGAAGTGCCTGAACAAGGATCTTCATGGCGGGATCACCAGGCATTCTTTTATTGCAAGCAGCAGATTTAGCCCTCATTCACACTAGAAACGGCCGGCACGTACAGCTCCGTGCTGGGTGCACGGCCGTATTGGGTAGCTCCCGGGAAGGACAGGGGCTGCCTGTGATTACCGTGTTTCCCCAAAGATAAGACACTGTCTTATTTTTATTTTTTTTCATGAAAAAAGACACTAGGTCTTATTTTCGGGGGATTCCTTACCTGGCTGCAGCTGTCGAGCTCTCCGCTCCGATGCAAACAGGTGTGCGGGCGGGGGGGGCGTGGTGTGTGGGCGGGCATGTGGGATTTCTGTAATATAAGACCTACCCCGAACTAGGTCTTATTTTCGGGGTAGGTCTTATATTACAGAAATCCCTGAAGATAGCGCTAGGTCGTACTTTCGGGGTAGGTCGTACTTTCGGGGAAACACGGTAGTACGCAGCCCCTGTCCTTCTCTATGGGACTACACGGCCATACGCCCCCCCTAAACTCACCTCAAGTGCAGGTCCGTACGGGTGCTAGCTCGGACGCAGATAGGATCCATCCTGTCAGAGTAAGCTCACCCGCACGGACGTGCAGGGGCGGTGAGCGTAGGGCGGCGTACGTAGTCCCATAGAGAAGCTTCCCGGGAGCTGCCCTATACGGCCGTGCACGCAGCACGGAGCTGTACGTGCCGGCCGATTCCCGTGTGAATGAGCCCTAAAAATGAAAATGACTTTTGAAATCACATTAACATGTTAAAGAGCTTTTAGTACTGGGATTTAGATCTACTGTAAACTGTTTATGTTGTTTGAAGAAGCAGTGTTAGGTAAGTTGAGGTGTGATAAAGAAAGTGTTAATCCAGCTGAATACTCTAGCTTGTTCCACCTTGAGGTATATTCAGGTGTCCGGCAGGAGCTCAGGGCAACATTCAAACTACTCTGAGAAAACCAAGATTTGACTCTAAATTGTATTATTATTATAGTGCTCTTTTATTTTTAACCTTTGTTATTGTTACGCCTAAAATATCGCTGAAACCCCTGATGATTCATCGCCCAATTTCAGGTCTGTCAAGCAGCAGCAGTGTATTTTTATCCGTCCTGTGGACACAGGGGCCTCTCTCTCTCAGAAGGGACTGGTGGTGGCAGCTCTGTGGTGTGCAGGAACAGAACAGCAGCTTATGTGTACGTAGGAACAAGCGCGTGGAAAAATAATGATTGCTTACAGAGCTATATTTTCATTGATGGAGCCAGTGTACTGGCCGGCCTGATAGTTCTGTCAAATCTAGAAGAGCAAAACAAAGTGTGTTTCCTGTCTCTTTTCTCCTCTACGCACCTCAGTTCTCTCCTTTGTCACCTCTTGTTCCTTTCAGTTGCTTCTTCTCCTCTCCTTCTCCCTCTTCTCCTCTCCTCTCCCCTGTCCTCCTCTCGTCTTCCTTCCCATCTTCTTCCCTACTCTCCTCTTCTACACTTTTCTCCTCTTTTCATCCTCTCCTCACATTTCCCCTGTCTTCCTCTTCTCTCCCTACCTCCCCTTACTGTTATTCTCTCCTGGAGGCTCCTCATTCTCCTGTCTCATCCTCTCATCTCCACTCCTATACTCCGCTCCCCAGTTTTTACATCTCTTGTCACCTACACCCCTCATCTCCTCTTACCTCCTTTCCTTTCCCCTTCTCTCCATACCTCTCTGTTCCTTCCTGTCATTCTTCCCCTGCCCTCATCTCTCCTGTCCTTTGCTCTCATCTCCTGTCCCTCTTCCCTGGACATGGGTCCCTACACTTCTGTCCTTTACTCTCATCTCTTGTCCCCTCCAATCCTCTCATCTACTTTCCCTTCTGTCCTTCTTCTTCTGCTCTGTCTTCTCCTGTTCTTTAATCTAATTTCTTGTCCCCTCCAATCCCCTCTTTCCTTTACCCCCTCCTCTTCTCCCCTACACTCATTTCCTCTTTCTGCTCTCCATTCCCCTCACTTTCTTTCATCTCTAGTCCCCTCTACTCATCTCCTTTCTTTTCTTCTCTCCTCCTCTCAACTCTTGTCCCCTCCATTCATCTTCTCTTCTGCTCCCTCCACTCCCCTCTCCTCCTATCATCTCTTGTCTCTTCTACTCATCTCCTTTCCTCTCTCCTCCACTTCTTTCCTTTGCTCTCTCCTCCTCTCATCTCTTGCCCCTTCCACTCATTTTCTTGATTTGCCCTCCATTCCTTTCTCTTTCTTTTATCTCTTGTCCCCTCTACTCATCTTCTTTCCTTTCCTCTCTCCTCTTCTCATATCTTGGTCACTCCACTCATCTCTCTAGCTCCCACTCCTCTCTCTTCCTATCATCTCTTGTCTCTTCTACTCATCTCCTTTCCTCTCTCCTCATGTAATCTCTTGTGTCCTCCACTCCTTTCCTTTCCTCTCTCCTCCTCTCCCTTTCTACCTACTCTGCTCCATGAGTTCTTCTCTCCCATACCTGTCCTGTCCTCTACTCTCACTCAGTTTTGCATTTCTGGTTACACATGCATTCACCTGTCTACATGGAGCTTTGTTAGTGTATGTAAAACCTTCTTGGATGAGGAGGAGGCAGTAATGACATTGATGGGTGGAATAGAATGGCCCCTGCAGCCGGGTCTCGGCACCGCGGTCCTGGAGACCGATTGGCTCCTCTGCTAGAATCGTCCTTTACAATGTAAAGCGCACTCACACACATTATAATTACCCCGGTAGGTGAGCAAAGCTTCATCAAGGAACTCGGCGGCCGGTCTGAAAAACTTTGAGATGTCGCATTCGGGAAAGTCATCGACTTCAACGCCCATGTACTGGACCTCCATGCCGGTGTAGAACTCGGGCCCCGTGAACACCGTGGTGTTGTGCCCGGCATTTAGAATGTGAGTGATACCCATCCGCTTCAGGCGCCCCTTGTTGACAGCCACACTCCTAAAATATAAGAGAAAGTCACGCACCCGTAAGAGGTCATGAGCCATCGCTCCTGTGGAATTAAAGGGTCAGTCCACCCAAAATTATGTTATATTTATTGTTGGAGCCTGGCGGGCCTAGTCTTCTCCTGGCTTCTTATATGTCTTGGCTGTTCCCACTCAACTTTCTGTGTTCCCAGCTCCTCCCACTACGAGCCATCGCTCCTGTGGAATTAAAGGGTCAGTCCACCCAAAATTATGTTATATTTATTGTTGGAGCCTGGCGGGCCTAGTCTTCTCCTGGCTTCTTATATGTCTTGGCTGTTCCCACTCAACTTTCTGTGTTCCCAGCTCCTCCCACTACATTCTGCATAATAGAAAATTCAGCCGGGATGGTGGGAGCCCCTCATAATGGGCACAGCAGGTGTACAGACCCGGGAACTCAGCACAGGGATGGTGGTAACCCCTCATAATGGGCACAGCAGGTGTACAGACCCGGGAACTCAGCACAGGGATGGTGGGAGCCCCCCATAATGGGCACAGCAGGTTTACCCCATAACTCAGCACAGGGATGGTGGGAACTCCTCATAATGGGCACAGCAGGTGTACAGACCCGGGAACTCAGCACAGGGATGGTGGGAGCCCCTCATAATGGGCACAGCAGGTGTACAGAACCGGGAACTCATCACAGGGATGGTGGGAAACTGCCATTCTGCTCCCTGACAGCGAGGTGAGAGGTTGCTGATTCCTTAGCTCGTGAGCTTCCAGAGACCGGAGGCTAGAGTTGCTTCTCTGCCCCCAGGAGAGATGCTGGATCCTGGGGAGGACCCCGGCGGGGGCTCCCTGGAGAGGCCTGTGACTAGGCCTCAGCCTGTGGAAGATTCTGGGCCTGGCCCAAGGAGGAATGAGTCCCTGTCTGCCTTTAGACGGAGGATTGTTGGGAAGATAACACGGATCGATAAGGAGGAGGAGAAATTGCAGACATCCCAACCTGCAAAACCTTATTTCAGGGAGGTTCCCGTCTCATTTCAGGGAGGTGCCCTTTCTGTTTTTTTGGGGGGGGTTTTACAGCGTCCGTCGTCAGAATATAAAATAAATAATAATGATAATATAT